ATCATTATCACTAATAGACAATGAATGAACTAAATTTTTAGGTAAATCAAAAAAATGTTGATTAGCTTTAATAAATTCCGTCATTTTTAAAACTTTATCTTCTTTATGTTTACTTTCATTAATAGGTTGAATCAGTGCTGAAGTACTATTCATTAAATTACTAATATTTTCTTCCAATTCAGAGGTTAAATCTTCTTTACCATTTGAATTTGTTGATACCATATTACGTCGTTGTGGATTAAAAACTCTCGAATTTGATCGATCTTGTTGTGCTTTAGTTTTCAGTCTCATAAAATCAATTAATGAATCATCAATTTTCAGTTTTGTATTTATAAAATGAATGAAATTTGATTCAATTGCCATTCTTAAATTTTCACTTTGTCCATGAACTTGACGTTCCATTCTTGAATATGATTGATTTAAATTTTGATTATCTTTATGTTGAGAAATCAATTCCATTAATATACTTTCTTCTCCTTGTGAAGTTCTTCTACTATCAACCACTTTTTGTTCAGATTCAATTAAATCTAACAACATGTTGTATTGTTGTTCGGTACTTAAATCAGATACTTCATCAGGTGGAGTCTTAAATTCATGATAATTTATATCTTTAAGACTATTTGGTCTCATGGTTGTCAAACCATAAGTAGCCATCAATTTGGCTTCATTTGGTTGTAAATCAAACATTGTATGCCCTGCAGAGTGTGTCGTAATAGGAATTGTTAATGGTGGAACCACTGGAATATTGAATCGTGGTAACAAAACAATCGACAAACAAACAAAAAAAAAAAAATAAAATATTGAAGCGAGGTCGTGTGAACACGGACAGCGAAATCACGTGACATAAGTTCGTTTAATGGCAACTCAAATATCTGACATTCCTAGGTTTGATTCAACGGTGACTAAGCTATAAATCATGTATTTGCTACTCTACTATAAATATATAAACTGTGTTAATGATTCAACTTGCGAACTTTTCTTGCTTGCTCTTTATATGGATCCGGCAAATCAACACATAACGATTGCTCAACATTAAGGATATCAAATTGTGGTTTGTTAGACAAGTCATCTAATATTCCTGCCACGTCGTATTTCAGTAAATGATTACAAATGACATCCACAAATTTAATAGATGGCCCAAAGAACACCCTTTGTTCCCATCTATTGGAAAATGAATTCCTTAAATCATTATGTTGCAAGTATAATTTTTCAATATTTGTGCTTGAAAAATCACCCACCAAAGTTTTAATTTTATTGGAGGATAAATTTAATATCGTTAAAGATTTTGGTAAACAAGCAGTATCAAAAGAAAGTAAGTTATTATGCACAAGGAACAAAGATTTCAACTTTGTACATTCCAATAAATTCAGCAGGATTAACCATTCCATATCGATTTTATTTGCAGATAAAACCAAATGCTCTAATTCTTTGGGGAAAACCAATGGTTCTTTGGATATTCCTAATTGATTATGACTAAGTGACAATTTTTTGAGATTTTTGGGAAGACCACAGACTGTTTTTAACTTGTTACTATCTAATTTTAAAATTTCCAAATTCTTTGAATCGATTTTGGTAACTTTTGAAGTGGCATTATTTTCAAGCAGCAACTCTCTAACTGTATTTGGAATAACAAAAATTATCCTCTCCAATGGATTTAAAATTATTCCCAGCCAAGTGCAAGTGTATAACTCCTGGGCTAGTAATATTGATCTTGGATAGTCCACAACCGTTTAAAGATAAAGTCCTTAGAGAATTTGGAAGGTTGAATGAAAACCCGGTTTTTGACAAATCATATCTAATATTTAGTTCGTTAAGGTTGTGCAATTTAGTCAACTCATTAAAATCAAATTTTGACAAACTATTCATAGTTAGTGTTGATAAAGTAGTAGGAATATCCAGAATGGACAATGGTTTCGTGAGATAAAGACATAATTCTTGAAGTTGGCAAAAATCACTCACTGTAAAATCAACAACCATCAGTGTGTCAGTTTTCCAGATTTGTCTAGTTTGCAACGATTTAAGACCAATTGGCAATTGTTGCATTTCTTTTTTGGATAAATCTTCATGACGATAAAGAAAGGTTTCTGGAATTTCTAATATCTCTAATGTTTTAGGAAGAGACAAAATATCCAGCCAATTCTGGGTTGTATTATTCTGAACCCTTGCAATGCACAATTTGATTAATTGAGGACATGAGCTGGAAATGTCACCGTGAATTAAAGTTGGCCAGTCGATACTAAGCGATTTAATGGAGCATGGTACCATCCACAGACTAAGCGAATATCCGGTATGTAGACCACATTTAAGTGACAAATGTTTAAGATTAGTCAAATGAGTAATATCATAGCAATTGATGTTTTCTTGACCAACCTGTCTTTCATCATCTACTGTAAGGTCCAAATGAAGTAGACCTTTGGGAAAATCCAATTCTACCTCATCAACATTTTCACATTGAAAACAGCAAGATAATGTTTCAATAGTTCTAGGAATAGTATAAAGATCAATTTCTCTAAATTTGACCAGAGTTCGCAATAATGTTAAATTCTGAAAATAATCTGCAATACTTATTCGGTGATGTTTTCCTGTCTGAAAAAAAAATAATGATGATACATTTCTAGTCAACTGTGTGGGCAAGAAGTCTTTTTCGGACCCGCACACCGTTAAATTCATACGATGGACAACAAAGGGTGATTTGTGGTATTCTTCAATAAAGTGTTCTAAATCAAAATACTCTGATAATTCTAAACCAAGTGTGATTTTTGTGTTTTTTAACAAAGTTGGAAATGACTTTGCAATTTTAAGAAGTTCTTTTTCTCTGCGAAACACCAACAGCTTAGGAGATATACAAGCATTTGACTTTCTCAACTCCAAATACTCAGCAACTGACACATGTGGTAATTCATCGTAACCTAAATACAGAGCTTTTACCATGGAGGTCACCCACAATGGTTTTGCAAGACTATAATTATCAAAAATAGATATAGCAGAATAAAATGTTCTCAAAGCATGCTTACCAATAATCGGTAGTTCGAAAAGTCTTTCTAATTCTGTATTTGGAATATAACTGATGATAAGTTCAACAACTTCATCTGGTAACTCCTTAAATCTAACCATTCAGTAACGCGTCTTGTTGATTGGTGAATATATCTATTAACAATTTTGGAAAATGTTCTCACTTGATGTGAACCTTTGGAAAGTAAATTTATAAAGGAATAATCAGTTGGCGGAAGAGTTTGTTGTTGTTATTACAGCCAGCGGACAACTGTGTTTGACAAAAAAAAAAATTCAATATTAAATTTCGCACAAATTGCAGTGAGCACCTCTCTTGTAAACAAAGGTAGTGCATGGAGAAAAATGAAATGTAAACAATCCAATGTTTTCGTGTGTGTACCAAATCTCATTTTTTGATTTAGTTAGGAAGAAAAATGTGTACGTTCCGATGTTATGAAGCGTATATTTCAATACTTACTTTTATAGAAAAATATAAAATATTCTAGTTGAATCTAATGTAGTGATATTCCAATAGTAGTATATTAGGTTTTAAATATTAGAATAGCAGTTGTTTCTTGTATTGCATTAGTTTTTATTTTTCAAATTATGTCGTGCCAAAACAAATTTAGTATAAGTTTGGGACCGAGTCATGCGGACTACACTTTCATGAGATCTCCGAAAAAAGATTTTTTTGTTTGCATTCGTGCACCTGACAACAAAGAGTGCGAAATTTAATATTGATTTTTTTTTTTGTCAAACACAGTTGTCCGCTGGCCTTATTATTTTTATTATTGGTTTGTTAACATATTGCAAATCGCTACTGCGAGAGAATATACAACCGCGACAAAGTACACGACCTTTTTGTGAAACATAGTATTGAGTTTGATATTATTCCTAAGAGATTAGTATAAGTTCTTCTAAGTGATACTAATAGTGATAGTGTTCATTTCAGATAGCACCTATATTTGAAATGATTCTACAGATACTATGGATCGCTTATCGGATAGTACTGTATCTATTGCTGTTGATATTGAACATTGTCACACGACTAATGAATGAAATACCCAACTAATGTACAGTTTAAATGCTCTCCACCTCCACAACAACCATACGGGATAATAGACAGAGTGGATATTCAAAACTTTGAGTTGTAGACGCTGTATATTATTGTTGGGTCTCACACGACCATTTACTGTCTTCCTAAACAATGAAAAATCACCACCACCGTTATGAGAAGTTGGTGTTGATATTATTATTAAGCAATATTAGACCACACGTGGGTTGGCACACACACAGTGAGTTCATTATTATACTATTACAGATACGAACCTCAGCCGACTCACACATAACAATACAATGAGCAGTACCATGGTTGAATTGGCTCATTCTAACTTGTTTGCTTATCGCTTGAAGATGAACAGTAAAAGGGAATTCGGGGGTTATGGGTAAAAATTATTTATACCAATACGAGGCTTAATATTGTTTTGAATTCTATTTATATACCTGTAAAGTACGATGTTCTTTTTTTTTTGATATAAAAAGACCACGTAAGCCAACCATCAACTACTTCTACCGACCAACTAACCAATCAACCAACTGTCCATTGGTACTTCATTTTCTGACGTTCCCCCTTTATTTTCTAATTTTTGTATTTTTGATTTTCCGAGAAATAATTTTTCATTTCGGATTTATCGTAATTTTCCAGATATTGAAATAGCACCGAATAGTTATCAACAACTTTTTCTAATTTGCACATACTCATTTCCTTTATTAATATTATTAGATAATGTTGACGGAATTCAAGAGGAGAAAACACATATTCTTACCAATACTTGTAATATTATCAATTATCGGATTTGTTCATTATTCAAGTTCAATTCTGTTTAATAGTTTATCAAATTCAAACAATTCATCAGTTCTAAAACAGCAAATTCTAATTTCATCCAATACTAATGGGAAAGCTGCTAAATATGTACCAAAATTTAAGAAATTAACATTTATTGATTATGATTTTGACTTCACTAAAGTGACTTATACTTCAACGAATGAAAAATTCACATCTACTTATAAATCAATGAATCGTGATGATGGGATAGTTGAAGATAGTTCAGTTAATTATTTTCCTGGTAAACAAACTATTTTAATCATGTCAGTTATTGGAAATAGTAGTCCATATGGAAGAGATCGAAATTTTGAACAATTTTTAGAAACAATACTTTCAATAGTTGAAGATCAATCAGATTATATTATATCATTATCATTATTATGTAATAATCCTGATGAATTTAATAATATTCAAAAATATTTTGAAAATGAATTAGAAAATAATTTAGAATTATTTTCAACTTTATTTGAATCCATAATTATTGTATCGGCTCCATTTTTAGATGAAAATTCAGGATTTAATAGAAACGAAA